TGCAGCTCTTCGGCCAGCAATTTTGCGTTGAATGATTATGCTTGTTGTCAACGCTCCGGCCCAGGGCAAACGTCCACCGATGCGTTTGCACCATCATCGCCTCTCGGCCGTCCGGGACCAACCAGCCCGGATCCCAGCACGCCTTTGGAAGGCCTAAGGATTCGGAGCTTTCATCAGAGCTGCTCTCGATTCTGGGCTGAGGGCGCTGGCCAGCGATGGCAGCGCTCGCGAGCCGGCGGCGTCGGCCGTGCTGTTCCAGTTCTCCGAGACGTCGCTGCTGACCCAGGCAGGCTGGCAAGCTGCGACTGACTGCGGCGTGCGCGTTTCAAGCGGCATCACATCCATTTGCCGCATCGGCTGCCGAAGTGCGCATCTTTGGATCATTTCCGCTGTCGTCTCCACACTTGCAGCTCAAGGCGTCTCTGCACGGACGCACCCGCGGTTTAGCGTCTTGAGCCGAACCGTCGCAGGAGCCGCTGCCGGTCTCCTCCCACGTTCGGCTGTACGACGGCACTGGGCAGAGCCTGGGAGATGGCACCGTCCTCTCCTGCGACAAGGCGCAGCGGGCGCAGCGGAGAAAGCCCGGCTCCCGAGAGTCGTCGGCCGAGAGCTGTTGGCCACTGGCCAGGGCATTCTGCTACAGAAGAAGGAGGTGAACGGCCTGGAGCCCGGGGTGCACTCCCTGAAGGTGCGCCGGAAGGCCCACGTGCACACCTTGCATAATAATGAGCTGTAGCTTGAGAAATACCGTCACTTGAGAGTGGTGGCTGCCCGACAGGGTCCGGAGATTGTCCCGGAGGTTGTCTTCTCCGCCGCGGTGTCCTTGGACTACGACGCCCGCCTCGTTGCCCAGGTGATGCTGGAGCGGGCCTTCCGAGCCGCCGGCGGCGATCCGGAAGAGGATCATCGCGTGGTGGTGCGCCGGGCCGACGGCGAAGAGTGGAAGGACCGAGAGGGCGCCCGCTCCCTGCGCGCGGGGTCGGGGCGTTGTCGTGCGACGTGCCAGGACTTCAGGCCCATCAACTACGACAAGATGCTGGATTGGCCCACAATCGCCTTTCCCTGCCGCGCCTTCCTGAAGACCGACAAAAGAGCGGCCGACGACCCTAAATTCGAAGACGTGCAAGTGCGCAGGCCTCAGATCGAGTGCGCTCAGCCAGCAGCTGCATCGTTTTTAAGCACAAATAGATCAGCGACAAAGTAGGAGCCTCCGTGAGACGTCGGCCGGGATCTTCCTGCTGGGTGACCTGGAGCCAGGCCAGGCCGCTTGCTCTCTCTCTCTCTCTCGCGCGCGGCTCTCTTGCTTGTTTCCCTGCTTGCTGAGGCGATCGGGTTGAGCTCGGGAGCGACGGGCCACCGAGAGAACTCCTGCCTCTCGACCGCCTCTCTGCGAAAACTTGGACCGCGCTGCCGTCGCATGCATCTGTGCGCAGACGTGCAGACTCTCAGGTTGCTTCCGGGTGGTCCTGGACATGGTGGTCCCACGCTGCCCTGCGAGTCTGGCGGAGATGACGGTGCAGGATGAGCTGTCCCTGCAGCCCTGGCCTTGGCCTTTCGTGGAGCGCGAGCTTCGCAGAGCTCCGTGCACAAGGCTCGGCTTCGCCCCGCTGGAGACCCTGCCACTCAGTGCTCCCGTGGCCGCGAGGCCCGCCCAACTCGGCGAGGTGGCAGGAAATCTTCGAAGCACGCGCCCCTCGTTTTGCAGGATCTCAATGTTCGGCGAGGAGGAGCTGCGAGCACTCCCCGAAGCGGCGCCTCGACTCAGCAGATCGTCAGGAATGTGATGTCACATGCACGCAGCGGGGCCGCTGGGCACCGCGTTGTATCGCCGTCTCATTTCTTGCGTGCCAGCAGAGGGGTCTTTCCCAGATTTTCCCAGTGCAGGTTTGGCGGACGCCCCTGATGGCCAGCATCCTGGGCCCCGCCCCCGTTCAGCTGCGCAGAGTCTTGAGCCAGGGGCAGAGGGGGGGAGGCTTCTACACGTAACATCCATGCTACGAGAAGACAGTGACGCAAGCCCGGCAGAGGCACATATTCTCGGAGCCAGAAGGACCGAAGCATCAAATGCATCTGCTATCTGGCTTCTGATTCCCTGCCTCTCCCTTTCCCGCCCTCTCTCGAGATTGTAGAGGAAGATCTCGACGGCGCCACGGCAGAGCTGGTGCTGATGGAGCACGCGGTGGGAACGCTGCTGAAGCAGGCGAGTCCATGAAACGGTACAGAATCGTGGGAATCTGTCGCAACCAGACGTTATGTCTGGATCGGCGGAAGTCGGATAAGTCTACCGGTGTATCGGCAGAGCCAGGCAGAGGAGCGGACAAGCTGCAAGGAGCTGCGAGCAGAGCTGGGCCCGCTGTGCTTGGCCAAGCTCCAGGCAGCTCGCCCGGGCACCCGCGCAGAACTTTTAGGAATCCGCTTGTGCTCTCGCTGCAGGCGGGCCAGCGGCTGCTGTTAGAGTCGGACTTCACCAGCGAGGCAGGAGCTGCACGAGCGCCCGTGGCAGGGCCTGCGTGAGTCCCAAGTAGTTATAGATGCATTAGATAGAACGATGCCCATGCATGTTCATACAGTGTCCTGTAATGTGGCATCAACACATGATACTTAAAGTACCAGCGCAAAACTGTATGTGACTCGTTCCTTTGGCCATCTGCGGTGTGCTGCGGTCGCAGCTGGAACCCTTCAGGCATGCACAGCTGACACGGTTTATGTGCTGTTTCGCTGACGCCTGTTTTTTGCATCCAGGTGGTCTTCCAGGAAGCGCAGCTCGGGCACTTGAGATTCTTCGAGCCGGCTGGCCAAGCGGTGGCGCAACAAGCGGTGGCGCAAACCGTGCTTGGAGCTTCATCGGGTCAGAAGTTCGAATTGGTTCACACCCTTTGCCAGGTGCAGCTGTACCACCTGCGAATGCAGGAGTTCCTGGCCGCAGAGGTGCCACGCGGAGTGCCCGTGAGCGCTATTGCTATTGCTAGTCTCGGTAGACGATGGTGCGAGTGATTATACATATATTGAGCCGCGGCTGACAGGCCCGGTTGGCGGGTGCCCAGGCGCCGGCCTGGAGAGAAGCCTTCGCCGAAGCGCAGGAGCAGCCGATGCTGCGAGGCCTGCACCTCCACAGTCGCATTTTTGCAAGATCTGCGTGGTCACAGTGACCGAAGACACACTCCAACGGAGAAAGAGACTTCGTGGCTTCAGCTCCGGTCTGCCACAGGTGCCCTCCGCTTCTGTCTGATGATGCAGACGGCCCACGCGGCGGAGGCGGAGATCGACCTTGCAAGAACAAAGCTGGTCGCCGCGGACGCAGAGGCTTTCCAAGGACTTCTTTTGCATACGCGAGAATAAGAGCTGCCTGTGCCGTGGTCGCCGCGCGAGTCGGCCTCTTTCCGGAGGAGCCCTGCTTTGCACCGAGAAGCTGGCTCTCAACTTGGACGGAAGCCGCCTGGGTGAGGGACCCGGACTGCGCGGTGTCGGATTTGCTGTCATAATTAAGACATGCGGCGGACTAAATTTGTGAGCTAGCAGAGGCGGTGTAAAGCCCGACCAGCCAGCGGAATGAATCCATTTCACCGGGGCTTGACAGCTAATGGCCTAGCTGACTCAATCTCGAGGGTCCTGCAATTATCTGATTTCGTATATTTCATTGGAGGATTCCGGGGGCTTCTGCTCGAGTGTATTCAGTGCGAGGCCCCGAGGGCGCCAGCAGCTTGTCCTCTGCGCTGCCCAAACGGCTCCGACAGCTGCGGCTGGACTTATATGAGAACAGCATCGGCCGGGGATCCCAGAGGGGGTTCCTCGGAAGCAAGTCGGCAACTTTGTGGGGAGATGCTGATCCCACACCCAGTTCCGCCGTGGCCGCTTGTAGATGGTGCGGCGTGGGCACCCCTGAAACAAGGTTCATGCAAACAGCCCCAAAGCCACAATGAAGGATAGAGCAGCGGATGAGTCGGGAGGCAAGGACAAAGTGTCAACCCTGCAAAATTCAGGCACGGATTCGTAGGTGCCCAGTCTCCTGCCCGAAGCACAGCTTTGATTCAAAGCTTCTGATACCTTCTGGATCTCTGCTTCCCTGAGGTCTCTGCCGCAGATATTAATTTGCTTGCTCTGGGAAAAGCTCGGTGTAGAGCGGTCGCCCGAGGCGACGAGGGTGCCAGCGCCCTGGCCGCAAAGCTCCCGCTCCAAGAGCTGTGGCTGGACCTGACCTCGAATCAAATCGGCCCGGGCCCTGGAGAGGAAAGGGCCCACAGCCGTGGCCTCGGAGCTCCGAGAGAGCGGAGGCTCGGAGCCGGATTTCTGCTTCAGGTTGCCCCCAACAGCTGGACACCCAGGAACCTCGAAGAACCGTGAGAACTGCATCCAACTCTGCAGGTGAATGGTGGGGACCCAAATTGCAACTTTTTGCTTGGACACTTATGTTCCTTGACATGTATTTACAGAGTCCGCTGCGTAGGATCTCGTGTGTCTAGCTTCAGCCACAACACTTCCTGAAGATTCAGTGCATGGCTTCAACACGCCCCCTTGAGAAGTGCGTGTGTGTAAGTCCCTGACACCTTTCGGGGCCCAACTTTGTTTGATTCCTGTGAGAGTTCGTAGGCCTCCGTCTCTTGCCCGCAGCACAGAATTGATTCAAAGAAGCGGCCTGGTTCGAGACCTCTTCTGATGCCTGCTGGATCTCTGCTTCCCCGAAGTGAAGTCTCTGCCACAGAATTTGCTTGGAACCGCCCTGTAGTCGAGTCTTTGGAACGGGCACAGCGAATGGACACAATCTGGGAGAAGCTCGGTGCAGAGCGGTTTCGCCCGAGGCGACGAGGGCGCCAGCACCCTGGCCGCCGCCTTGGCCAAGCTCCCGCTCCGAGTGCTGCAGCTGAACCTGCATGGGAACAAGCTCGGCCCGGGGCCCAGGAAAGGCCCAGGGCCGGGACCTCGGAGCTCCGAGAGAGCTGAGGCTCGGAGCCGGATTTCTGCTTCAGGTTTCCCCCAACAGCTAGACTCCCCGAAACCTCGAAGAACCGTGAGAACTGCATCCAACTCTGCAGGTGAATGGTGGGGACCCAAATTGCAGCAAACCGCGGTGAACCCCTCCAAACGCCTAAAAACCCTACTGGTAAAACCCGAAACCCTCCAGAATACGCTACTTTCCCCGGACAGCTTCGCGTTATGGGGACCCACAGGTAAAGGTACTGGCTGGGGGGGGGGGGTTACCTGCGGTCAGACCTATTTCCGGTACCTATTTCGGGAGAGTTCCGCGAGGGGGCCCCCATTTCGCGTTGTTCTCTTTGAAACAGGAGCTCATGTGAATCTGCTGTCGGGACATCGTGGCTGAAATGCAGACATAGACCAGGGTAAAGTTGTTAGCTGTGAGAAGCTCAGAAATCCGACTTCAAGATAGGGCCATCAAGACACCGCTACTGTACGCGGACTTTTTTCTGCACGAAGGAGCTGCAACTGCAGCTTTTTGCTTGGACACTTATGTTCCTTGACATGTATTTACAGAGTCCGCTGCGTAGGATCTCGTGTGTCTAGCTTCAGCCACAACTTCCTGAAGATTCAGTGCATGGCTTCACCACGCCCCCTTGAGAAGTGCATGCATGTAAGTCCCTGACACCTTTCGGGGCCCAACTTTGTTTGATTCCTGTGAGAGTTCGTAGGCCTCCGTCTCTTGCCCGCAGCACAGAATTGATTCAAAGAAGCGGCCTGGTTCGAGACCTCTTCTGATGCTTGCTGGATCTCTTCTTCCGTCTCTGTCACAGAATTTGCTTGGAACCGCCCTGAGTCTTTGGAACGGGCCGATTATTGGCACGCTGGGAAAGGCTCGGTGCAGAGCGGTTTCGCCCGAGGCGAGGAGGGCGCCAGTGCCCTGGCCGCCGCCTTGGCCAAGCTCCCGCTCCAAGAGCTGCAGCTGAACTTGGATGGGCAGCTGAAAGAGAGCAAGCTCGGCCCGGGGCCCGGAGAGGAAAGGGCCACCAGCCGGGGTGTCGGAGCAGAGGCTCCAGGTTTCCCCCAACAGCTAGACACCCAGAAACCTCGAAGAACCGTGAGGACTGCTTCCAACTCTGCAGGTGAACGGTCCCGAACCCTTGACAATTCACCTTTCCGCCAGTCCGCAGGTGGCAACCATCTGTAGCGGAGTCGAGCCGATGAATTCCTCTATCAGCACTCCTGCGAGACCAGACGCTCTGGCTCCCGAGGCGATGACGGGGCCCGGGCCTTGGCCGCGGCCGTTGGCCAGCTGCACCAGCTCCAGAAGCTCGTGCTGCGGCTGCAAGGCAACTCGCTATGCCCGGGGCCCCAATTTGCAGCAAACTGCAGCTCAAACCCCTCAAACCTCGCCTTGTTTCACCCAAGAGCTCCCCGAAGACGCGACGAGCCGTGAGAACTGGATGCCTATGTCAGCAGTGCCAAGTGTGTCCGGCACTGCAAAAGAAGACCGACGAGCCACCTCAGCAAGTTTTTGCACAGTAACGGTCGGCAGACATGACGGACACAACCACCAAAACGCAACATCAATCCAAACCAGGCGAGGGCCAAGATGGAAAAAACACCCCCGAGACTTGCGCATGATCCAAGCTGAAGTGGAGCCTCTGTGTAATCGAGTCTTTGGAACGGGCACAGCGAATGGACACACGGTTTCGCCCGAGGCGTGGAGGGCGCCCGCGCCCTGGCCGCCGCCTTGGCCGAGCTCCCGCTCCAAGAGCTGCAGCTGAACCTGAGGGGCAACAGAATCCGCCCGGGCCCTGGAGAGGAAAGGCCCAGGGCCGGGGCCTCGGAGCTCCGAGAAAGCGGAGGGCCGGATCTCTGCTTCCCAAAAACCTCGAAGAACCGTGAGGACTGCTTCCAACTCTGCAGGCGAACGGTCCCGAGCCCTTGAGAATTCATCTTTCCGCCAGTCCGCAGGTGGCAACCATCTGTAGCGGAGTCGAGCCGATGAATCCCCTCGATTTTAGCATTTTGCGAGACGAGACGCTCCGAATGATGCCAGCCTGGCTCCCGAGGCGATGACGGGGTCCGGGCCGTGGCCGCGGCCGTCGGCCAGCTGCCCCAGCTCCAGAAGCTGGCGTTGGGGCTGGGAAACAACGGGCTGAGCCCGGGACCCCAACTTGCAGCAAAACCGCCGGCTCAAACCCCTCCAAAAAGCCCCCTTCCGCTGGCTCAGGCCCAAAAGTGAAGGAGGAGCTCCGGGGCCAGCTGGAGGCGCTCTCCATCCCGGAGAAGGAGATCGGCATCCACATCTAAACACGCCCGAGGCCTCCTCACGACTTCCGTGTTTTTGGGGATTGGGGCGGAGGCCTTGGGAATTTCGGTCTCTTCCTTGGTGGTTGGGAGATTCCTTCCGTTTTGGGACCGCAGGTGGCTCTGAGGAGGTCTGGCTCTTGGGAGGCCCTCTCCGTGCCAGGTCCGGCCCTCCGTCGCCGAGTTTGCGCGCAGGAAACCCTGCGGCCTTGGCGGGGGCTGGGGGATTTTTCGGGCTCGAGCCTTCCGCCGTGCTCGGGTCTCGGCTGTTGCGGCGAGATCGGAAGGATGCAGGGTAGAGAGGGAGTCGGAGGGAGTCTGGAAGGCTTTGGAATTCCGGGTTGAACTTGGGGCGGACTTCAGGCTTCAGGTCCAAAACCCATGCAAAGAAGCTCCTTCGCCTGCTACAGCCGGGGGCTTTTCACTGTTTCACCGTGGAATCGGAATTAAACAGCCGCCCTGGGCTGCGGCAGCATTAGCGCTGCTGGTCCCTTGCTTGCTCGTGCTCGCCTTGAAGGGCGGCGCTCGAGGACACTGCTCCAGGACATGCTCTTCGAAGAAGCTGCACTGTCTTAGGGTGGGTTTTTTGTCTGCGTGCCTTCAGGGACATGGTTTTTCCCGCCCGGTATCACCCGGTTGTCACACAGCTCGAAGCTCAGCGCCAGAAGAAAGATTGCGTCCTACCGGTCTCGGCATACCAGGGTCGTGCTGCCAGGATGCGGCTTCAATTGAGATGATTTCACGATGGAACTCGCTTTACAGAATCTATGATGAAGACGAGATTGGGAGACGCCATTCCACATAAGTATATTGTGGACAAAACTGGACCAAATTTCACGATCAACAACAACGAAGATCTACATGACCAATTGCATTCGGTTCTTTCTATCCCGCAGCATGATAAACTCAAAGTCTTCCATCTCTCCTGGAAGGTGACAAGTGCGAGCTAAGACATTAAACGGGGGGTGTTCTCGAAAATTGGCTGGGGCTGAGATGGAATCAGCATCAGATACTGAAGAGGCGAGTCGATTTTTCCGTGCCCCACCCTCCTCACCCGAACTGATTTTATGTGTCTGGGTTTGTGCTGAGTTTGAGCTTCGTGTTGTGCACAAGGACTGACACTCCAGCTTTGCCTGCGACACTCTGCCGCTGCTTGAGCTTTTGAAGATTTTAGGCTCCGGGGCTTTCGCTGTTTTTGTGGCGGTTTTGGGATTGAAAGTCGGCTAATTCGGAGCAGCCCCGGAAAGGAGGCTCTGCACTC